TTTTTTTTTTTTTTTTTTGGCTTTTTGGGACAGGGTCTTGCTATGTAGTTCAGGCTGGCCTTGAACCCGAGGTGATCCTCCTGCCTCAGCCTCCCCAGTGCTGAGATTGCAGATGTGCACTGCCATACCTGGCCACAACTTCCTTTAGATAGATAGCTGTTGGTGACTCTTTTTGTCTTTCACTTGAGGTGAAAGCATTATTTACTTATTAACTTCATTCTTTTTGCTCAGTAGCCTTCCACAGACAAGGAGCACATAAATGCCATCATGAACCAAAACGTATTTATAGAGCACTGCAATTTCCCGGTAGAATTCGGTCACAGTGCATTACCTAGCTTATCCAGAATGTGCTTACCTTTCACTGTCACCTAAAATGCTAGCACAGCTTGTCCAAGTCCTCACAAAGGATGTGTAGACTCCTGAAAAAAATGTGTCCTCCAGATTCTGAGACTGTAGTTTGGGAAAAGTGCACCCCACGTTCAGCCGTAGGGCTTTGGCTCATCTGGGCCTGAAGCCCTCAGAATGTATCTCCCCTTCCTCACAGGCCCTGGTGCTCCTTTCTCTGTCTTGAGGTAAGGACCATCCAAGTGTGGCCTGGTGATCCTTGGTCGTGCCTTGGGTGACCTTTGGTGGTCAGCCACAGGCATTGTAAAATTTGGATAATGTTTGGCGTAGTTTAACCTACATTGAGAAATGATCTAACGCAGCAGCCCTGGATTTCAAAGCTACTCTTGCTTTGGAGTGAGGCTAGATTTTAAGAAGTGGATCCTTCCAAGTCGCTGGCCAGAGAAGTGCACTGAAACGAAACCCGAGATGCGTCGAAAGTCGGGTAATCGTGGAGGTGGTAGGAGCAGAAACGCTGCTGTCTCTTCTGCACAGTGCGAGCCGACAGAGTGCCTTCTGCTCCTTCTGTGGCTTACCCGGCCGGGTTTCCTCCTGACACGTTTCCCCCTTCCTCCAGCTGCACGTGGTCGTCAACAAGACCTTGGTCAGAGTGGTTGTTGACTGCAAACAGATGGGCGAGAAGGCGATAAATGTGTCGGCCAATGTCACGTCAGACGGAGTCGAAGTCCTGGGGAGAATGGTTCGGTCGAGAGGACCGAATGGAAATTCCGCACCAGTAAGTAACACACAGGAGAACCTGTGGTGTATCCCGGGGAGAGCCGTCGAAAGTATATTTTGCTGTTTCCCTGAGGGGAAGTTTAGTAGCGGGAGAGATGGAAGGGTAGATACACAGATGAAAGGCCCTTAGATGAACTAAAACGGACATTCCGAGCTCTTGGCGATAGGTCTCTGCTGTAGTATACAGAGAATGCTCCAGGAATTAAGCTACTTCATTTTCTAAATGCATTGAAGAATTATTAAAATAGTTCACCACATGGTTTCTAGCATAAGTAGTTTGTTATTTTTGGATCAAAACTATAAATGAACCTTGTTTATATAAGAAAATACAAATCGTGCAGACTTTTTGACTATTACATGAAAAATGGACACAAGTCTCTAGTTTAGATTGGGGCACTTTAGAACTAGGTGCTCGCTGTCACTAATGTGAGGCTTACCCTTTAATCATTAGTAGTTATTTATACAACAAATCACTCCAAGACAGTATAGTTTTCATCGTGCACAATGGAATTTAAATGTGGGAGACTTCCAGCTCTAGCTGGCAAAGAAATCACATTCCCTTCCCTCAGCACCACAGAAATGAATAGTGCATGCAGGTTTTTGTTTCAACACAATGCATGCACAGCCAGTTAGCAGCATTCTCTAATTTGAGTCATTCTCTAATTAGGGTTTTTTTCTTACAAGCAATTCCCACTCTTCTAATGTACATTTGTCTTCTGTGTATAAGAAGAGTCAAGACAACTGTGAATCAGTATCCTCTCTGCTTTCATGGGTCTGTGGAATTAACTGGTGGCGTGGAGCTCTAGAAATAGCAAAGCCCTTTTAAGCTGAGGATAACCCTGTACAAGTGCAGATTTATACTGTGATGCACAAGTAAATGAGAGTCTGACGGGCGGACTGGAGGGAGAGGACGTGAGGTGCCAGGGCCCCACCTCCGAGGGGTCCCTTCAGGAAGCCCAGCTCTGTTACAGTCTGCTCGTTCAGTACCTAGGAAGCAGTGGCAGAGCGGCAGAGCGGGTCCCTTGGGGACAGTGTGCTGTCTGGTGTTGTCTCTCTTGTGCACCCTCTGCCTCCCGTGTGAACGCAGCTATGAGCGTTACAACTTCCGTAACCCGATCCACGTTGCCCAAGATCTCTTTTCCCTGAACTACCGCCATACCTTCCGTTGCTTTCGGACCTCGACGGGCAGACGTGTGCTCACCGCTTAGCATGAGCACCAGGTATCTGTAGAAGTTCTTTCGTTTCTGCCGTACTTCGGAGTTGAGACGTTTGGAAAGAGAATATAGCAGCAAAGGAAGGCTCTCGTGTTTTCAAGTATGGTGAGGGATTTTAGGGATGTTTGCTTGGGACTGGGGAGTCGTCTCCTTTTATTGTGTGGTATTCAGGCTGATTCATAAACACATAATTTTTTTGTTTAATAGAGGATGCTTGCAGGACTTTATACAAATACACAGCAAGCTGAGGACATTTTGTCTGGATAAATGATGGGTGTGTAGATGGGTTCTCAGAAGGATGGACTGTGAGAAAGAAGTAATTTTAGGTGTGTGAAATTTTAGCACCAAATCACTGAATTCCATTATTATAATGTTCTTAATGATAACACAGGTAAGTAAAGCAAATAAAGATCCAGACTCATAGCCATTCGAAGACAAGCTGTTGTTATTACCGGAAGAAGTCAATAATACATTTCTCATATCTTCTCTTCTACCACTAGCATGTGTTTAAAACTTAAATATTAATATATATGCCCCTTCACGCATACACATTTTATCCCTGCACCCAGAACAGACACGATGACACAGACTTGCTTTGAAACCACCTTCTTTTACCATGACACAGTAATATTGAATAAATCCCTATAAACATAGTAAGCTCTCAAGAAATAAGTAGAAATCAAATAGATAGAAATTAAATAGAAAGTTGCTTGAATTACATCATGTAATTCTTAAAATATTTAATTTTGTGTATATTCCACCCCCGGTGTGGCATAGCCAGCACTGTGGTAACATATACTGTCCTCTCTGGTAATTATAATTTGTGCTTTACAAGTATAATTTTATAATAGTTCAAATTACACTGTAGGTAATAACTATACTTGAAATATATGAGCAGGGAAATATCAAAGATCTGATTCTGAAATCAAAAGTGCCTGTGGGTTTCAGGTTTTCTGGTCATAAATCTTCATTTTTGACCATGAAAGAAGTGTAATTAAGCGAATCACCTCCTGTGGTGATTCCCGGCCTGCAGGAGAGGAAAGAGAATTTATAGATGCCCATGATTAAAGGATTCTTTGTAAGGCTGGAAGGAAAAGACTCACAACTTTTGTTAGCATCTAGAAGCCCACAATGATTACTAAACAGATTTTCAGTTGCCCACTTATTAAAGAACTTAATTAGGTTGAAATGATGGGAAACTCAGATGGCTTTTGTTTTGGCCGGGGTATTGCTCAACTGTCTCAGTACAAGGTGAAAGAAAATGTGGCCCTCCATTTAGAAATGTGTCAATCTCATTATACTTCTGTGATGTGGCGCTCCCAGGAGGAACAGCTACCACGCGGCACAACAGCAGCTCCCTGGTCAGCGTTGCCTGCCAAAGCCAGCAAGGGCTCAATAAATGCCAGATGGCGGGGGCTCCGAGGACTCCATCTTTAAAGAAAATATATTCTCTTTAAACCAGAGCTGAGTAGAGGGTGGATTTAATGGATTTAGGGATGCAGTGACTACTGTACGTAAATTATTGGAGTTCGGAATAAAAACAACCCGAGCTCAGCAGTGAGATTCCACAGCTGCACAGTCCCTGGCAGGATTGCACTTGTGAGCGGGCTCACTGCGCTGTCAAAGCAATGCAGAAAGAAACGTAGCAGCTGGACCACTCTGCAGTCTCTTTCCTCCTAAGAGGTCTCCGCTGCTTTTTCTGATCCCTCTGAGATGACTCCGGAGAACCGAGAAGTTGCTGGCATAGGACGTTTCTTCAGTCTTCTCTATTTCCAAGTCTAACCCTAGGTGATTTTCCGGCTGGCCCTGATTTAGCCCTTGCCATTCAAATGAAAGAGAAATGTAAGCTAAGGGACAGGGCTGGCTATAACGTTAGTCACTGAGTTAAAAGTTTAGCCTTTGGCTTTTAGCTGGGAGGACACTAAGGCCATCCCGAATCCATGTCCCTGAGGTGCACCGGTGACAACATCGCTGGCCCCCAAGAGCCATCCCTGGGTCTGTCCCAGAAAAAGCAGTGAAGCATCGCCAAGGCAGCAGTATCTGGCAGAGCCCAAGGAACTACGGTGACCCTGGCTGCTCAGGGCCGGTGGAGGTGGTGCCTTCTGCCCCTGCCCTGGTCGTCAAGCCCTCCAGGGGCTGCCAGGAGATGGGGAAGCAGAAAAACATTCCACACAGTGGAAATAACACGCCTGGGGAGATTGTCGACATTGCCCAACCAGTGCGGCACTGATCTTTAGCCAGAGAACTTTATGGAACCATTAAGGGGGTCCTGGGGACCCCCCAGTCTGTGGGCTGCAGTGTGGTTTCCTGGCACCCTCGTGACATCATAGCTGATGCCACCGGCGGTGCTGGGAAGTGCTGGCAGATAAGCAGCATAAGGGAATATTTCCGCCAGAAAAGGGTCTGCAAACAAACTTTTAGGTAGAAATCAGCTGTAGAGTAGTTGGTGAGCCTATAAAAGCGAGTGTACAATAATTTTTAAAAAGCAAGAGTGGCTTCCACAGGAATTATTTCCTTTACCCTTTAGAACGGTAATGGTGGCTGTGATTTATCCTACGCCAACCCCAGGTTAGGAAACGTGGACTTCCTGAGATTATCAGTTTAGTCAGTGACCTGATTTTGTCCCCATTCCATAGATGCAGAAACTGGGGCTTGAAGAAGCTAGGGAGAAGCGCGTGATAAGAAACTGACTTCCACACACCTCTCGCCTCGTGTTCCTGCGCTTTCTTCCCACGGGTTGGGCTCTGTTCTGAACCTAACACGCCCACCCGCCTGCGCCCTGCCGACCTCTGAGGTGCCAGTGTTTGAGTGATGGCCTGGAGCGAAGTGGGGGTCCCCGCTGAAACGTTCCAACAAGAGCGAGGATGTTCATTTCCTGACTGTACAGAACCTTTGTGGTCCTTCTCCAGTTCCATGAATTGAGCAGAACAAATGCAGGCGCTTGGTTCAGTAGCTGTGAAGTGGTGAATGCCGTGTCTTCTTCGGTTTTGTGCTGGAAGTGACAAAAATTAGGCATCAAATTAGAAGCAGAAGATGGGTTAGGTCACCAGTACCTTTTCTCTGGTCATTGGTGTGCCTTGGGAAGTTCTGCATTGGTGAAAATTCAAGTATGTTTTGACTTTAAATCATTGCTTAGTTATGCTAGAGAGAAATCAAAGGATCGAATCTGCTCTGAGTGAAAAGAGCCAGCGGCTCATTCTGGTTCCCATTCATACATCAAATGACTCAATTGCTGAGAAATATTTTAATCTTATTTTCATGCTGACATTTGACCCCAGATGACTTGCCTTTTGTGCTGTACCCTGTCAGAAATGTCCAACAGTGAAAAACGAGCATTTGTAATTAAGTATTCCCTTCAAAGTTTACAAAAAGTGAAAGTAGGAGGCTTTCTCTCTCTTTCTCTTTCTTTGTGCAAATTTATCTTTTATAATTTTCACTTAAAAAAGAAAAAAAGTCACAAAAGTGAAAAATGCAGGACTGCTTGCCTAAAGTTTGACTTACTTTGAAAATTACCGTATATTTTAAGGTGCTCAGATAAGAGATGTTTAACATGTCAGCTCCACGTTGTTTCCTGTATAATATGTACAAATATATCTGTTAGGGCTTTTGGACTGAAAGCCAGCGTGTTTTTTATTTTAATTTGAAATCAATCCCCCAAAGTGTGCCTCAAGGATCTAAAATGTTATGAGTGCGAAACAATTATGAATACATATCTTGTATTCAGAGACAAAGATGCTGATTTCATCTAACTTGCAAAAGAAAAGACAGCCCACACAGTAGCATTCCTGGAGAGGTAGCCCTGGCTTTATCTGGCTCTCAGTGGGCTTTCAGACCCGTGAATGAAGAATCCAGATGACTGCAGGGCGCAAGGCCAGCGAAGGTTTGTGTGCAGGTGTTAATGCTATGACAGGTGACCGCGTGGTCAGTGTTTCTTTGAAAAATTTCAAGAGAGCCTCGTGCATACTGGGGTAGTGAAAGGCCTTTGGTTGAAGTGAGTCTCTCCATTCATGGAAATGTTTTTACACTGGAGCTTTATTCAAAAATGGAAATTTCTTAATGGATGAATGTTTGTCGTCTTGTGGTGCTATCATAATGGGGCCCATTGAGACGGCATTGTCAGTTAGACCAGGCAAATCAGCATTTTAAACATTAGACCAAATTCCCTTGGTTGCAAAATAAACCACACATTCCTGGGATGTTCAAATCCCAACCAGAACAGAGCTTTCACATGAAGTTCAATTATTTAAGTTAAAAAAAAAAAAAATCCCGGGTTCTATTCAACAGAGTGGACCAGTTGATTTTCTTTTCTTTTTTTTTTTTTCCAGCTTTAATTGAGTTTATTGGTACATTTTAGGGATACAGTACAGTTACATTCATTGTTGGGATCTTGTACCTCTACATGACAAGTCTTGATTCTCATTTTTTCCCCTTACCTCTGCCCTCCCTTCACCCCCTCCTCCCCTCCCCATCTACAAACACTTTATTTTCATCTTTTCAATATCTCACATTTTTTTCTTTTCCCTTTTTACTCTTCCCCTACCCATCCCACCTTCCCTACACCTTTAGCTCCTTTCTTATGGACCAGTTGATTTTCAGTAAGTGTTGGTTACTATTGTTATTTGCTAAGAATTTTCCCAGCTAAATTTTTAAATAGATAATAACAGTGTAGAAAAGCAACTGGTATATTTCTGTCCTCGCTACTGTCACTTTTATTTTGATTCTACTTCTTTTGCCTACCCCTTAAGAAAATTGGTTATGAAAGGGCTGTATATATAAAATAAAAATAATATTTTAAATACTCTATCTCCCTATTTCCTCGTATCTGTCTTTCTTCTCTCTCTCTTTCATACTGGGATTGAACTGCGGACCTTGAACTTGTGAGGCAGCCAGTGGGACCACTGGGCTAAATCCCCAGCCCTAATATCTCTTTTATTTTGCTCTTTATTTATATTTCGAGTTTCTCATATAAGAGGAACCATGTGATATTTAAGCTCATGTTTCTGGCTTATTTCGCTAACATCGCAGTCTCAAGTGCGTCCATTTTCCTACATGAGTCAACTGTATCCTTCTTCGTAGCATAGTAGTACTCCACAGTGTGTAAATACCATTTCGGAATGCTGATTATGTGTCACACATTACTAGGTGACACAGAGATGTCCTTGAGAGGTCTGAATAAATAGCTGCATTGTGTGGTGAGAAGTAAAGCTGTTAAGGAAACACCTGGGGTATCCTGAGATTACAGAGGTGTTTGGAAGGAGCTTCAATGGGTGTTACCAGGAAGGCACTTTAGAGCGAGCAAGTTGTGCTAAGTATGGGGTTGGGGTGGTGACTGGAGAAATCAGAGGCAAACTCTGGGATCACTTTGTGTTAAGGAACAAGATTAGTGAGATGTTGTTAGAATTTTTTTTTTTTTTTTT